AGGATACGTTTCACGAAGTCTCTAATGCATATTTATCCCATATTTTCGGCCTAGGCACTTTCTAGCTCCTTTTCTGAATCTCAAGTATTTTATTCGGAGTCAAAACTGCACAGGGCCCTATCCATCTGACCTACCTTACTTGACTATTTTTCGACACATTGTTCTCTTCCTCGCACTAGTTCCCCAAAGTGTTTAAGACAAGCATATTCCTAATTTTTTCATTTCGGAACTTCTCTCGCTAGCCGACCTTGAGCTGTTCAATTCAAATTTAATTTAATTTCTCTGAGTTAAGATACACCTAAGCTGACATACTTATCAGATTAGACGAGTGTAAAAACGGTTTTTAACCTAATTCGAGTACAAAATGCTCCGAAACGCTCGATTCCCTAAGTCAAGTAGTGCGAAAATATACGGGCACAGCGATCAAGAGAAAGGAATGTACGAGAACATTCAGCAGGATTTCGAGATAGAGCTGCCGCGCGCTCGCCCCATCTGATTGACACAGATAATAATCATGCCGGGAAGAGATATTTTGATGTGATAAGTGTAATCTTTTTAGTGTACTTTGTGTAGGCCAACTTCATTTTCACTAAACTTCGTTTTTAACAGAGTCTTCGTGCTATTACAATTTGTCCGATTTTTGAACTATCAGAGTTAGAGCGGACTTAACCTCTAGAGTTAAAACAAAGAAAACACTTTTGTTAATTTATTATCTGCGGAAGGCAGCATATCGGTCGTTTTAACAAAATTTTATATTTTAGGCCCGGAGGGCGTCGTCATTGCTAAAACGGCTGAAAGAGATGTTCTTTAACGCGCACTGAAAAATATGATTTTTTCATTCCCTGGGGCAATTTGATTTTAACTATTCCATAAATGCTGACTTGAAAAGGTGAACACCGCAAATGTGTGCTTGTAAAACATGACCTCCGACCGCCTTATGTGTCACTGTCCGTTTCAGTAAACCAAACAAGCAAATAATTATGACCCCCGTGTATTATGTGGTCGCAGGGCCTTATTTCGCAATGGAAAGTTTTAACAAAGCCGCTGATGCCATCATCATGCCAACGTAATGTCTCCAGTCAGGCGTCATCGTGATCGTAAAGCCTATGAGGGCTGTAGGTTTCAAGCTCTTGTAGAAACAATGTTATTATGAATACAGCTCTCTTTCCCGTTGGCATTAAGCGACCAATTTTTGTAGATTAAGAGATTTTGCATAAATGCATGTTAACCTCGTTGCCGTCAAATTGGGTAGGCTATGTAAGCAGCTTCGGCACCATAAAATCAAATGGCGGCTGCTCTGCATCGTGAATCCCTTGTTTGAATGCAAGTGGCATGCCTTCCGACCTCTTTGCCTGATTAAGGGGAGTAAGTCGCCAGTGGTGTCTTCTTTTTCACTGATAAAAGCCATTATTTTAGCAGCTCTCTTGTTAACTGATAGAAGGCGAGGGTTCTGTTATACAGTTACAAGGTAAAGGTAGAAGGGACGTGTTTCATTCTGAAATCCAGGAATATTCGTGAACGCCAATGCCTTTTAGTTGAGGAATATTTAACGCTTGAAAAACACTAACATCAGCCCAAATGCCGTAGCTCGTGATGACAGGAACTACGCAGTCTGCTGCCTCGAGTGGCTTTCTGGATGAGAACGGAGTCCAGTTCCACGTTCCGTGTTCATCTACCTTTTGTGGTGGTTTTCTGCTGCCATTTAACGCTGGTTTGCATCGTCTTTAATATGATTTTCTATCAGTTATTAATCGTGAAGTTCCTTTGAACATGCTGTATCTATAAGGAATGAGCGTACACCGCGCTATTGGCTTCCTAAAGCAAACAAGCTCCGTAATGATGGCAAAGCTCATGAACAGGCAACCGACTAAGTTCGATTCGGCAATTCCTCATTGGGCTGGTACAATTGCGCACTGTTCAATACACCTTTCCCGCCTGGCCGACGACGATCTAGTGTGCCAGCGTCGAAGATTTACACAGTAAAGTTTGTTCACGTTTCCCAAAGAATTTCTTCTACCAAATTATATTTCTTGGGATGCCATTTTTCAAATTCATAATGAAATAAGTACAGTTGTTTAGGGTTACTAGGTGTCTTATAATTACATCTCATCGTTTTCACGCCGGGCGCATGGGATGATCGGCGTGTAGCTGTCATTGCGCGGGGGGGGTGATGGGGAAGGGGAGGAACCTAGGATAAGCTGTGAGCATTGGTCGGGACTTGAGCACGGGAAGTGAAACTTGCTCTCATTTGCACGAAGGGAACAACTGTTACCAGGGGGTGTAAGCGATATCTGATTGCCACCTGGCATTGACGTCGGCCACGGAAGTGATTATGCGTCTTCTGAAAATACAGCTGCAGAACATGCTTCTTGAAAATGGATACCCATAAGGTTCATCATCAGGTATATGGGCGAAAACACCGAAACGTCTGCAGTCTTGAGTGCAGAAAAGAAAGACGTGCTCATAAGATTGTCTCTCCTAGGCCATGCAAAACGAGACCTTATGAGACCACGTCTGACGTCAGCGATCACAAGCGCTTTCCTGCGGCGAACTTACTTGTATTCTTCACGAATTCTCCCCTCCTACAATTGGTAAGTTAACACTGACTGCCGTTGGAGAAAGATACATTAGCCGAATAACGAGGCGTTTAGAAAAATGGTATGGGAACACATACCGGCTTTGCTAAGTAAAGGTGAAAC